TGTATGTCACCACTCACCAACACTTTGAAGGTCAAACTACATACGCTTGGTCTTCATTGTCTGTGGGCTTTAGTTATTGTTTTGAATGACACCTTGTGAGATTTGAGTTTGACATATAGCCAAGCAGACGTATTGATTCAGCCCGATTTCAACCCCCAAATTGGTCACTCCTGAATAATTTTTGAACTGGGCTTCTGTGAGATTGGCTGTCAGACATTTTGGTTGATGGTTTTGCTGTTTGAGCTGTTCCACAGTCTGATTCCCCATGCTGCTGTCAAAAGACACCTTAAAAAGCTTGAGTGAGCTTATTTTAATATTAATAGAGTTGTATTTTACATATTGTGGCTAAAACTGTAGTCTGCTGTGATACAAAACTGATTTTAAAAAACAGACCATATTGTCTGCATCTCCCAGCCTTGTTCCTTTGTTTTCTTACTTTCCATTCATAATAGAATGGCCTAATGTAATGCTGCTGTTCTCTCTCTTTGTAAACATTGTATTGTCAATGGACAAAAACAACTGGGGGTACCATGTTTACATTCAGTGTGAGCAGCCATGTCGTGGCCTGCTAATTGATCTGTACAGTGCGAGTATAAAGGTCATAGGTTCTAGCCGAGCAGAAAGGTTGATTGAAATCTATTATGCGAGTTAAAACATTATACACAATTTTTTAATTACATGGTACAGTCTAGGTTGTAGAAGTACAACCTTATCTCAAATAAAAACATCTTTTCTGTCCACAATTTTGAAACTATACTCACTTCAAATGTCTGCTGCAAAGTTTAGTGTGGTTTTGTTAAAATAATAAAAACTGGACAGCACTCAGAGAGCACAGACATCGGCCAAGGCAGATCAGTTTCCCCATAATGTTGTTACACCTAAAAGCAATATTCCCATGATAGTTTAACCCTCATAATATGATTCCAGGCTATCCATAGCATTCAGATTCACATTATTATCATTATTAGTTTAACAGTTATTCAAGAAAAATTATAGACATGAGTGATTACTAAATGCCACAAATGGCTAAATAAATGTCTCATGCAGACTGAAACAACAATGTGTATTCACACAGACACACATAACTCACACCATTTGGCTGCATGTGAGTCTGTTTTCCAGTGTGCCTTCTGCTATACGTATTAGCTCCTCTCCAAGCACTCAGCAACACAGCCATACACTTTCACCTCAAGGGAGCTCACATACAGTCAACAACCTTTCCAACACTCACAATGATGAAGAAACGTTTTTTGAAAAATTCTTGGATTTGGATGATGTTCCAAAATCGAATAGATTGTCCCATGAGTCATACCCTACCTCGCCAAAAAACTTTATCCATATCCATTCATTACTTTTCACATTATGCTATGAACGAACAGACGCAAGTAAAACATTACCTCAACCTTAATAGAAAATATAAAAATAATAAAATATATAATCATGTCATCTAACCCCTTCAATAATGCTGCAACCACACTTTCACCAAGATTGCATTGATTATAACATGGTTCTTTTTCAGTTGTTTTTTTTGTGTGCGTCACTTTGATTTTTTTATTAAATTGGATTTTGAAAATGTCTTTAATTACAGTTTACTAATGAGGCATAATAAAAGTTTTCTATAATAGAAAGCAATACCTGTTTGGTTCCAATCTCCACACTGTTCTAAACTTGTGACATATTTGGAATGCCTTCCTCATAAATCCCTTTAACATGGTTTGTGCTATTGTCGAATGTTTTCTCCCCATTGTAATTATTCCATTGATCCAGTTTTACTCACTAGCAAGGCCAATCAATTTTCAGTGACATTTGTCTAAGTGAAGAAAATGGAATGATTGCTTCTTGAGCTTTGTTCAATGTGTCAGGCATTATATGACATACGTGGGAAGCCTGCTGTATTTGGAGCCTATAATTTGATGAGTGGGCAGACAGCCCACAAGTGGTGAGATCAGAGTACTAAAAAGCATTGGCGGGGAGAAACATGGCTGGTGCTTACATCCCATTTGGCAGAAGTGGACTGTCTCATTCTGAATGGGTAGAGGTGAAGTGGCTTTGAATGGCTATTCGCTCCATGACCCAAATAAAAAAACAAACACACAGCAGGGGAAACCCAGCATGGAAAAGCTGGTATCACCAGTCTCAGTCCCTCCTGAGTAGATTAACTCTGTTATCAAAGAAGAGTGAGAAGGAGCCGTTTCTTTTAATTGCACTCTTTATATGAGCAGCTTGTCTCAGATTAAGAGGACAAGCAATAAATGTCAGCACGACTTATTGCTGAATGACATTTTCTAAACTGTTGATAATCCACCATCTGTGTCAAAGAGAGAATCATTCAAAGAGGCCGGTCTGAGACATGCTCAGAGTACTTAGTGCACTTAAGAATGCCTATCATCAATAAACACGAATGTGTCTGTATTGCAATCACATAAAAACCTTATCGGTTGCTAATGGTCAAAAAAGGCTTTAAGTTGATTATTGATTAGTGCACTTTATGTTTCTTTTCATTGAAAAGACAAAAGCTTCCTTCGGGTATTTTCGACAAAGAATTGCCAGTTTGAAATGAGTATTGCATTTATTGACCTGTGTTTTAATGATGCTTCAGTTTTGTCTCGCTTCTTAATAAGAAAACATGGAGGACACAGGCCGATTGTGGAAAAGCAAAATATTAAAGCTGTGACTTTGATACTTGTATATATTTTATTGTTGCTGGTCCATTTGAATCAAGAAATGAGAGCAAACTGAAGAAGTTATAATTGTGTGCATTTATGGAGAGATAATATGTGTCCATAATTGTAGAACTAGTATACAGTAAGTGATACAGCTGAACATATCAAACACAGACCACATGGCAGGAGCTGCTGGGGAGGGAGGGCAGGGAGGTCCAATTAAAGCAGACAAAACACAAGGATGTAACCTAAAAATGGTGTAACACACCATCGAGCTATACTCAACAATCTGGACATTGACTTTGACAAATAAAAAAGTTGATTTCCACAATGATGGAGTCCCCTCCCCTCCCCCTCCCCACCCTATACTGTATCTCCCAGGCCTCCCCGATTATGGGTTTTACTCTGCGCCCAGTGACCAGAGGGGGGGGCCCTGCTCCTTTGCCGACTATGGCTCCCCGGGGCCCCCAGCGGGTCAGAGGCTGCCAAGGGCCACCTCCGCCTGCAACTCCCCCCTCCAGCACCTACACAGCCCGGATCAGTTTAAGAACCCAGGTTTGTATATGTGCATCTATCTCATCAACGTTTTTGGAATTTTCCGTTTGATTCATGACATTCTTCCATACAGATGATCTCAGATTACCCCTTTTTTTTCTTTTTATATTTCTTTTGATTTTAAGAGAAGAAAAAAATCCCCCCCCCCCAAAAAAAAAATATAAAAATATCTTGCTGACAAATTAGCACTGCATGTTTTGTCTTGTTTATTTTTATTTTTAATGTAGATTTTCTGTTTCCTTTTGAAGTTATGTTCCAGCCCCTGCTTGCACATAAGGGGCTGACACATACAGTACAAAATGTAATCCTTCATTTGCATGTGAACAAAATAACTGCTGATGATACTGGAGAGTACACTGGCCTTTCTGTCAGAGCTCAGGTTTCTGTGAATTTTGAACAGCAGAGGAATGAGTAAGTGCGAGAGCAAGTGAGCCCTTTAAGTATTTAAAGTGTAAGAATGATTGCTCATGTTATTAGTGTGTGAACTCAGCAGAAATGCTGTACGATGTTGAACACTTTAACAGACAACATTTTTGCATAATACAGCCATTAACTTTACAACACAAGCACATTTTCATCTTCTGTGCTTCTTCTCATTTTCTCTTATCTACCTTATGTAATCATAGCTTTCAGAAGCCTGGGATGGGAGTCCACTGACAAAAAATATACTCCACATTAGTAACTGCATGCAGTGCATTAACATTATTATAAATTCATACCAGTGAATTTCTTTGAGAGCAGACAGCCTTCACTATTAGCAGTCTGTTTTGATATACTATGGTGTTTATATCAAATTTGTTTATTCTTAATCATACATCATCATGTTTGCACTGACATGACGTACACCCAGTGTTTCTCATTGTTTAGTTTAGTGGTGTGTCTTCATGTTATTTTACCTACACACATCAGTTGGGTTCTTATGTGACACTTGTGTGTCCCAGCTAGCCGTGAATCCTGTCACAGCCTTCAGCCATGTGCCTCCATCTGCACGTCACAATAATTGGAAAAAAATTTAAAAACAGAAGGGGTTGTCCTCACACCCTTTTGGACCAATAAATTTAGTGGGTAATAGTTAAAGCGTTGGCCGTCCGACCCAGGCAGATGCTGACATTTCCTAAACACTTTCTTTATGAACCTTAGCACAGCAAATAGCTAAACACAAAAACTAACTGTATAAATACAACTACAGTGGGTACAGAAAGTATTCAGACCCCCTTAAATTTTTCACTTTGTTATATTGCAGCCATATGCTAAAATCATTTAAGTTCATTTTTTTCCTCATTAATGTACACACAGCACCCCATATTGACAGAAAAACACAGAATTTTTGACATTTTAGCAGATTTATTAAAAAAGAAAAACTGAAATATCACATGGTCATAAGTATTCAGACCCTTTGCTGTGACACTCATATATTTAACTTAGGTGCTGTCCATTTCTTCTGATCATCCCAGAGATGGTTCTACACCTTCATTTGAGTCCAACTGTGTTTGATTATACTGATTGGACGTGATTAGGAAAAGCCACACACCTGTCTATATAAGACCCTACAGCTCACAGTGCATGTCAGAGCAAATGAGAATCATGAAGTCAAAGGAACTGCCTGAAGAGCTCAGAGACACAATTGTGGCAAGGCACAGATCTGGCAAAGGTTACAAAAAAATTTCTGCTGCACTTAAGGTGCCTAAGAGCACAGTGGCCTCCTTAATCCTTAAATGGAAGACGTTTGGGACGACCAGAACCCTTACTAGAGCTGGCCGTCC